TACTACACATATGAACTTGACAAAGTGAAGATTGAACTAGTGGAAACACATGCACATGAGTGAAAGACCAGCCAAGCGTGAACCGGAACACTACAGCACACATGAACTTTGACAAAGTGAGGGTTGAACTAGTGAATGCACATGCACATGGATGAGAGAGCAACCAAGTGTGAAACGGAACACTACAACACACATGAACTTGACAAAGTGAGGGTTGAATTAGTGAATGCACATGCACATGGATGAAAGAGCAACCAAGTGTGAAACGGGACACTACAACACACATGAACTTGACAAAGTGAAGGTTGAATTAATGGAAGCAAATGCACATGAGTGAAAGACCAGCCAAGCGTGAACCGGAACACTATAACACACATGAACTTTGGCAAGGTGAGGGTTGAACTAGTGAATGCACATGCACATGGACGAAAGAGCAACCAAGTGTGAACCGGAACAATACTACACACATGAACTTGACAAAGTGACGATTGAACTAGTGAATGCACATGCACACGGATGAAAGAGCAACCAAGTGTGAAACGGAACACTACAACACACATAAATTTGACAAAGTGAAGAATGAACTAGTGGAAGCACATGAACATGAGTGAAAGACCAGCCAAGCGTGAACCGGAACACTATAGCACATGAACTTTGACAAGGTGAGGGTTGAACTAGTGAATGCACATGCACATGGACGAAAGAGCAACCAAGTGTGACCCGAAACACTACTACACACACGAACTTGACAAAATGAAGATTGAACTACTGAATGCACATGCACATGAATGAAAGAGCAACCAAGTGTGAACCGGAATACTACAACACACATGAACTTGACAAAGTGAAGGTTGAACTAGTGAATGCATATGCACATGGACGAAAGAGCAACCAAGTGTGAACCGAAACACTACTACACACGTGAACTTGACAAAGTGAAGATTGAACTAGTGAAAGCACATGCATAGGAGTGGAAGAGCAACCAAGTGTGAAACGGAACACTTTAACACACATAAACTTGACAAAGCGAGGGTTGAACTAGTGAATGCACATGCACATGAGTGGAAGAGCAACCAAGTGTGAAACGAAACACTACAACGCACATGAACTTGACAAAGTGAAGATTGAACTAGTGAATGCACATGCACATGAATGGAAGAGCAACCAGGTGTGAAATGGAACACTATTACACTCATGAACTTGACAAAGTGAAGATTGAACTAGTGAATGCGCATGCACATGGATGAAAGAGCAACCAAGTGTGAAACGAAACACTACAACCCACATGAAGATTGAAGTAGTGAATGCACATGCACATGCGTGGAAGAGCAACCAAGTGTGAACCGGAACGCTACTACACACGTGAACTTGACAAAGTGAAGATTGAACTAGTGAATGCACATGCACATGAGTGGAAGAGCAACCAAGTGTGAAACGGAACATTACTACACACATGAACTTGACAAAGTGACGGTTGAACTAGTGAATGCACATGCTCATGGATGAAAGAGCAACCAAGTGTGAAACGAAACACTACAACACACATGAACTTGACAAAGTGAAGATTGAACTAGTGAATGCCCAGGCACACGGATGAAAGAGTAACCAAGTGTGAAAGAGAACACTACAACACACATGGACGTGACAAAGTGAAGGTTGAACGAGTGAATGCATATGCAAATGGACGAAAGAGCAACCAAGTGTGAATTGCAACACTACTACACACATGAACTTGACAAAGCGAAGATTGAACTAGTGAATGTACATGCACACGGATGAAAGAGCAACCAAGTGTGAAATGGAACACTACAAAACACATGAACTTGACAAAGTGAAGATTGAACCAGTGAATGCACATGCATATGAGTGAAAGAGCAACCAAGTGTGAAACGGAACACTTCAACACACATGAACTTGACAAAACGATGGTTGAACTAGTGAATGCACATGCACATGAGTGGAAGAGCAACTAAGTGTGAAACAGAACACTACAACACACATGAACTTGACAAAGTGAAGATTGAATTAGTGAATGCACATGCACATGGATGAAAGAGCAACCAAAAGTGAAACGAAAAACTATAATACACATGAAGTTGACAAAGTGAAAATTGAACCAGTGAATGCACGTGCACATGAGTGGAAGAGTAACCAAGTGTGAACCGGAACACTACTACACACATGAACTTGACAAAGTGAAGATTGAACTAATGAATATACATGGACATGAGTGGAAGAGCAACCAAGTGTGAACCGGAACACTACTACACACATGAACTTGACACAGTGAAGATTGAACTAGTGAATGCACATGCAGACGGATGAAAGAGCAACCAAGTGTGAAACTGAACACTACAACACATATGAACTTGACAAAGTGGAGATTGAACTAGTGAATGCACATGCACATGGATGAAAGAGCAACCAAGTGTGAACCGAAACAATACAACACACATGAACTTGACAAAGTGGTGATTGAACTAGTGAATGCACATGCACATGGATGAAAGAGCAACCAAGTGTGAACCGAAACACTTACTACACACACGAATTTGACAAAGTGAAGTTTGAACTAGTGAATGCACATGCACATGGATGAAAGAGCAACCAAGTGTGAACCGAAACACTNACTTACTACACACACGAATTTGACAAAGTGAAGTTTGAACTAGTGAATGCACATGCACATGGATGAAAGAGCAACCAAGTGTGAACCGAAACACTACTACACACACGAACTTGACAAACTGAAGATTGGACTAGTGAATGCACATGCAGATGGATGAAAGAACGACCAAGTGTGAACCGAAACATTGGTGCACATACGAACTTGACGAAGTGAAGATTGAAGTGAAAACTGGAGAAAAAGTGAGAGAAACTCGCATTTCTACTCACACACACAAAGAGAAGAGTTGCGATTTACACTAGAGTGGAGAAATGGAGAATGCATGAGCTCAACATCACTAGAACACTAGAATAAACAAAGTTTGACGTAGCGATTTACACCCAAGTGAAGATTGAAGTGAAACATGGAGAGAAAGTGAGAGACACTTACATTTGGACTCACACACACAAAGAGGAAAGTTGTGATTTACACTAGAATGGAAAAATGGACAAAGCATGAGTTCAACATCACTAGAACACTAGAATGAACAAAGATTGAAGTAGCGATTTACACCCAAGTGAAGATTTAAGCGAAACATAGAGAGAAAGTGAGAGAAACTCACATTTGGACTCATACATACAAAGAGAAGAGTTGCGATTTACACTAGCGT